TTCATAAAAAACCATGAAAACCGCCTTAGAAAATTTTTTCCTCGAACACGTGTCTCATCATTTTAGGTGTTCTATTTGTGGTAAAAATTTCATTTCGATCGGCCTTACCATCTTTGAGATCTAGAAATGGTCAAAAAAGAGGGGGGGGGGTACCCTTAAATTAAATTGACTTACTTTGATAATTCATAGCTTCATTACCACCTACAAAAAAAAAAAATAAATATGTGAGTTTTATTTTAATTGTGTAAAATTCATTCAGTTGCTAAATTGCTTTTCAATCGAAACTATGTGTATTATGTATACTGAGGTGTGAATACTCTTAAAAGAGTTCATGTCCATAGATTATTGCTATGGAGATATTGGTTTTTTTTACGGTAATTTTTAAATGAATGGTATAATCCAGAAAAATTGTTTTACAAATTTCGACTTGAAATTTCGCATAGAGACAAATCTTTTATTTTGTTTCTATTTTCTGAAATAAGAACATCAATCTTTAAATTTTTTTTCTAACACTTGTTTTTCTATATAGTAAATATCTAATTGCAAAATATACAACTTTGTATTCATTTTAAATAATATAAATTTAAAAATAGTGCATCTAAATAAAGCTTGTGAAATAATCATCATTAGTGATAAACAAACCCGTTTTATTTACTGGATTTTTTTCTATTATAAATTCATACTTTTTATCAAATTCTTCAATATATTTTATACAAACCTGCTAATTGAGTGCCAGCTAATGGTTGAACTGTAATACGTTCACCTGTCATAGCCATACATGATTGTGGTCCGGCAACATAACTCGAACCACTATAAAATCCACCTGTACCTGTATAATAACTTGGATCACTACCAGATCCTCCCGTCATTGGTACAACATTCATTTGTGGATTATAAAAAGCACCAAATGTACTATTCCAAGCAGCGTCAGACATTGGTTTTCCAAAAGGAACACCCACAGACTGATAATAAAAATGTTCAGCACCTGCATTACTTCCATTACTATATGGATAATATTCAGAATTTGGATTAGCATAACCACTCATAACATATGCTGGATTATATAATTGATTATAAGAACCAAAGGGTGATGGAGCAGCTGGATATCCACCATAGACTTGTTCTTGTGGTTGAAAGTAACCTGGACCAAGATCAGATGCTTTCATAGGTTGTCTACCTACCGTCATGGTTCCATTTCTCCATGTATCAGCCCAATCTTGTCGTTTTCGACGAGTTCGGCGTTGTTGTTGCTGTGGTTGTGGTTGTTGCCGTTGTTGAGCTCGTGGCATTTGACCACGACTATAATAACCTCCTGAACGACGTAATATATTAGCCATGGGATCCAGAAGTACATCAGCACATACATGACGAAGAACAAACTAAAAAAAAATAAAAGAAATCATCTTTTTTTTTTACGATTTACAACTGAAATTTTAAAATTACTTGTCTTATTTGATTTGTATTTGTTGTTACACCAATTGATTGTAGAGCAGCATTTGTTGGGATGAATAGAGTATAAGGACGTCCTGATTGTTTCAATTGATCAAGTACACCTGTTTGTTGAAGTAATTGAGTAAATGAACTAAATTAAATAAATAAACTTTGTAAGAAAAAAAAGTGAATAAAATAATTCTTACCTAGCTCCTTGCATTGTTGAAAGAACTGTGTCCAATGGAATAACCATACCGGATAGAATACCTAAAATAAAAAACTTTCGATTTTCGAAGAAAAAGTTTAACAAAAATTCATACCTCGAATTACATGCATAACACCATTTTTAATTGGTATATTCGATTCAGTATTAAGGATCGCAGCTGTAAATGGTAATGAATTTTCTGGTCGACCAACAAGTGTTACCACTTAAATAAATACAAGTTACTGTAAAATTCAGAAATGTACAAACGAAAGAAAAGCAGAGTATATTTAGAATATAATATCTAATATAACTGATCATATAATTTCTTGCTAAAACAAAAAAGCGACCGAAAGTTACTAATACTCGTTTCAAAAACAAAAGCGGCTAAGCATTTTTTTAATAATTTTTTATAGAAACAAGGTAAAGAGTTGCGATTTCTGCATAGTCTTGTTGTTCGTTTTCAATCAAAGTTTATGAAAAGTAACATAACTTGTGAGGTGGCTACAGTGAATTTTCAGTTATCAAGTGTACAGTCGAACCGCCAATCAAAGACTTTTCAAAATTACACAAATCTCGAATTTTCACATTTAATTGTTGAGAAGTTATAGGTATTCTACTCAAAGCTCTCACCCAATTACTGTACAAAAAAAATCGTGTTTTGTACCTTTATTAGAAGCCATATTTCCAGCACTTTTTAAAAAGGAAATTGACTAAAAATTTACAGAAAAAAACTTAGAAAAACCTATATATGGTTGAAAGCTACTTCCTATTTTCTAACTAACGATGAGAATTACAGTGATCTATCATGTTACTATCAAAAGTTATTCAAAAAAATACTCCAACTACCTTTTTTTTTATATTTGAAGTGGACATTAGAAATAGGAACATGATTAACTAGTGAAATAAATACAACTTACTTCTGTAAGTTTTCTATTTAGATCTGAAATATCGAGCTACATAATATTAATTTACTATCACATATGAGCGAAAGATGTTAATTAATACGAAAGAATTAGAATTTTAAATACTAAGAATTAAAATACTAAAATTCAATTTGATTTAAATATAAGATTTTATTTTTAAATCTGCTTTTCAAAATCTAAATTATTTCTAATTCATATTACTTAGTATATTTCGAAAGATAAATTATCAAAGAAATATCTTCTCCGATTTCTCAAATCAGGGTTACTACATTAACTTTTCTTCTATCTCTAAATTCTCAATAAAAGAATATGTACCATTTCCATTCGGTCCAGAAGATATTTGTGCTTGAATAGAAAACTGTGGATCCATAGTAGGATAAATTTGTCCATCTTGAAAAACAGTTGAAGTTGGATATAATGGCATTTGATAATAGTTTGGATTAAGAGCTGGATTCAATTGTTGTTGATTCGGTAACAATTGTTGATTTGGAAATAATGGTTGAGAAGGCAACATTTGCTGTTGTTGATCTGGTAAAAACTGCTGATTGGGAAACATTGGCTGTTCGGGTAACATTTGTTGTTTGGATGACATTTGTTGTTTTTGTGTTGGTAACAATTGTTGAGTAGGCATCATTTGTTGTTGTTGTGTTGGTAGCATTTGTTGCTGTTGAATAGGTAGATTTTGTTGTTGTTGCTGTCTAGGGAAAGTTTGCTGTTGTTGTTGAATAGGTAAATTTTGTTGCGGTTGTTGCATAGAAAATGTTTGTTGTTCAGTAGGTAACATTTGTTGTTGTCTAGACAAAGTCTGTTGTTGTTGAATACCTAAATTCTGCTGCTGTTGTTGAACAGGTAACATTGGTTGTTGTTGAATAGGTAAGTTTTGTTGCTGTTGCTGTCTAGGGAAAGTTTGCTGTTGTTGTTGAATAGGTAAATTTTGTTGCGGTTGTTGCATAGAAAAAGTTTGTTGTTCAGTAGGCAACATTTGTTGTTGTCTAGAGAAAGTCTGTTGTTGTTGAATACCTAAATTCTGTTGCTGTTGTTGAACAGGCAACATTGGTTGTTGTTGAATAGGTAAGTTTTGTTGCTGTTGCTGTCTAGGAAAAGTTTGCTGCTGCTGTTGAATAGGTAAATTTTGTTGCGGTTGTTGCATAGGAAAAGTTTGCTGTTGATTAGGTAAATTCTGTTGCTGTTGTTGCCTAGGAAAATTTTGTTGCTGTTGCTGCATAGGAAAAGTTTGTTGTTCAACAGGTAACATTTGTTTCTGTTGTTGTCTAGAGAAAGTCTGTTGTTGTTGAATAGGTAAGTTTTGTTGCTGCTGTTGTCCAGGAAATGTTTGCGGTTGTTGTTGCTGAATAGGAAAATTTTGTTGTTGTTGAAAATTTATATTTGATGGCATATTTAATTGTCGACGCCGACGACGATGACGTTGTGGTTGTTTTTTGTTTGAACTAGAAGCAGATCGTTGAAATTGTGGCGCTGGATAGCCTGGTGGAATAAATGGTTGTTGTGGTACCATAAATGATTGTTGTTGACTAAATGGATTTGACATAGTCGATAATTGATCGGTATAAACAGGAAAACGTAAAATATGTCGACGTAAATTCTAAGTAAAACATTTTTTTTAAAAATGTTGTTTCTTTGTGTTTTTATTTCTTTTAATTTACTTACCATACTAAGATCCTGAGAATTTCCTAATTGTTGTACAGATATTTGTTGTGGTATAAGTACAGTAATTGTAAGTAAATTTTCTGGATTTAATGCATTTGGACCTGTATTACCTAAACCAGCTGTATTACCTTGTAATAAATTAACTAATTCTGTATCGCCAGATTGTTGAACAAGAGCCATAAAATATCTATAAATAATTTAAAGATTTTTTTTTTGCTTTTTTTTTTGTATTTTTAATGATCTTACTGATAACTTCGTGCAAGTTCATCAGCAGCTGATCGAGCTATACCACTAAGAAATGTTGGAATTGGATAAACAACACCATTACCATAGATTTTAATATCTTCTGTACGTGATGATAATATACGTGCAACTTGTCGATTTGAAATAACATCAACTAGAAAGATTTATAATTAAATTTTAGAAAAATAAAAACAACTATTGTACTTTGAAATGTTTGATCTGTTTGTGTGAGTTTACGAAATGTTACCCATTTACCACGATTTAATGTACTTAATTGTTTACTTGCATCCATTACACTTGGATAAAGTACTATCGGTACAATATGTGATTTAATAAACTAATTAATAAAAATGTTTTTTTTTTGTTCTATATAAAAATTTTTCGAAAAAAAAAAGTCTTACATCATTAATATCATTTGTATTATTCATAAGAGATTGTTCAAATAGAAATTGTGCATTTGCACCTAAACTAGCAAATGCTTGATCATTTGGTAAAAACCATGTTTGATGATGCATTGAACGTAATTCTGATCGAAAATAATCACTACGATCAGCTAATTGTCGTAGACGTCTTAAGAAATAATTCATTTGTATAGTATTATAAAAAAGAAATTAAATCTTACGAAAATTGAGCATCTTCAAGAGCATCATAAGCAGTTTTAAATTGTATTTGATCACGTCTTTCAGGTGGCCATAAAATATTATCAATAACATTTATTATACCACGACTCATTAAACGTGATTGTAATATAAACGCATTATTAATTGTAGGACGCTGAAATAAAATACAAATATTGATTTAAATATTTCCTTTACATTTCATATTATGTAATATGTTCAAAAAAAAATTTCGAATATAAAAAGATGTTAGCACAATCCCTGTGCAACTAAAACGTAAAATACGATATAACTGTTATTTTCACCCTTAACAAGAGAATAGCCAAGGTCTATAATCGGTTGCAGTGGTATCAGTCACGGCCAGTGATGGGTTATGCTAGGATTTTGTCAGATTGATTGTACAATCATACACAAATTAAAAGATAAAAAATAATAGTGCCATTTTTCCGTTTAGCAACTGTAAATGACATACGATCTAAGCATTTCATTATAGTTGTGAGACCATCATAATACCGTTCATCAAGATTATCTATACAACTTATACTTTTGTGGAACTCACATATATTTTCGAAGAAAATAGTGAGTGGTGTAAGTTTTAAGGTCAAGTTTTCACGGCTCCCCCTCCCTCTCCACTACAGACACCATAGCAACCGAAGGCTCATTACAGCCACCCCCCCCCACCCCCCCCAAACCCAAAAAACCACAAAAAAAAGAAACAGCCCCAAATAAAACAAAAATATAAAAAACAGTCATTTTTCAA